TGATGACTACTTTATACATTAGTTAGTTTGGTATGTTAGATAATGATTAACCAAATGTTTTTATCACATACCGGATTGGTTTATTATAAGTTAAACACTCACAATTTCTCTTACTTTATTTAATAATCGCGCTGAATTTAACAAGTATGTGGAAGGAATTGTCACTTTTTTTGTTTATTTATTATTTAAATTCTAGTCCATCATTCGATTACAATTTGGTGGTTAATGAATTGTCAAGAGCAGCGCAATCAAATTCTGTCGATATATAAGTATTTGCGATTCAATCAAACCTAAAATTTCGCACCGAGGAAGAATTTGTTGGTAAATTTTATTAATTTCCAAAACCAAATATTATATTTAACTTGCAGTTTATATTAATAAATAAATTTGTTCTGTTGACCTTAAAAAAATAATATACTAACTTATGTGATGGTGTTGAGAATAATCTAGATGATCTTGTATTAACTTATATTGCTAAAAGTGTTGAACACTAAAGTATTTCATCCTACAAATAATATTGTGAAGTTGCATAATTGGCGTGTTTATAATGTAAATGATATTAAAGATCCAATTGTTCGTCGGAGCAAGATAGGCCTCCTACTAAATGATTGAAAGCTTTTAATGAGATAACAAAGTAGAAAGTACCAACATTTGTCAACCGGTTAATATTGGTTGTGAAGAAAATTGGTGGACGTTGATGCGGTTTATGTCATAAAACAGGACATTACGTTCCTAAATGTCATTGGTTTATAGTTTATCATAATGATCATGCATTAATACGTAATAATATATTTTACTTACTTAAAATTGTATATCACGTGACTTTATATGAGGCGATATTTAATATTTGTAGCATCTAGAAGTAATTACTTTGTTCCAGAGACACATCCCAAATTTATAAAGTTATTTCAATATTGTATTTCATCTAAATAATGCATCCTTCCAAAATAAATATATAATATATTTGTCTTTTTTTTCTTGTCACATAGCTTTATTAATTTAAAATGATGATAGGGATTGGTTGATTCTTCCTATTCCTGTTGATAATTTGATGTAGTCTTCCTAACAATCATATCATAGATTGACAATAATAGCTGGTAAAGTTTGGAAAATTACATAATCTCGCAACTCCTGTGAATGTCGTTTACAAACCCTCTAGAAAATCAACTCGGAAACATAAGATATTGAAAGTAAATTTCTAAATAAAGTTTTTTTTCCTAGATAAACACCAACTTTAACTATCGTAAACTTAAAGTCCATCTGTTCAGTTAATAGAGAATCAAATCGACAATTTAGGGTCAATAGAGGATATTCCGGTTCAATTTTTTTGAGAACCTCGAATAATGAAATAGAAGAAGGTGGATTCTCGGTATCTTCCTCTTCATACTCTTCTTCATTATCAGATTGATCTAATTTTGCAGTTCTTATCGATTATAGTGGCGTCTTTACATATGATCGTCTTAAATTTTTTTTTTCATAATCATCATTAAGTATAACATTCGGCATAGGAAGGAAATTCTGTAAGGGTATCTCATTTTCTCCTTTAACATGAATCATCATAGTAGTAGTAGGTAGTAGTAGGTAAATCTATAGACTTCCCAGTAATTGACGAGTGTTAATACTTCAGTATCAATAATCTGAAGTGTTTCAATTCCGTTGACGAACCACTATAATATAAAGCCATCTACATTTCAATTAGGTTTAGCGAAAACTCCAGTTAAAGCTCGAAAAAAGCCTGGAAATTAAAGTATTGACGCCAATTGAAAAAATCAATTTTCATTCCTTTTATTTCCGTAGTGAACTCACACAATAGTGTATACCTAAAGCAAAAAAAAAAAAACTATTAAAATAAATAAACCCGCAATATAATAGTTCGATTTAGAAATAATTACTCCCGATTTAGTCCATTCTATAATTTTTTTAATCAATATGATCGTATACATACGTGTACTTAAATAACCAGTAAATAAATTAATTATGATGCTTTTAAAAGCAAGTGATAAAGCTCAACTATTTTATACGAAATATTAAAAATTGTGCAAACCTCTTGTAACTGATTAAAAAAAATATTAATAATATTAAAAAAAAAAATTAATTAATGACCGTAAAGATGTTGTACACTTCACTGTTGTGAGTCTATTTAAGTATTGAACAATTAGCAAAATACTATTGGAAATAATATTAAAGAGCTATCTATCTATATACAGGAAACGTGATTTTTTTCATTGGTTGGTGGTAAATATTATTTGACTTTTTTTGGATGCAGAATAGAAACACGTGTCTAAATTAACAGATGATTGAAAAAAAATTATTTTTTCAGAAATTGGTACAGCAAGTACTCGAACTCAAGACATGCTTACTGAGATACTCTTATATTATAAGCAACATGCCTAGAGCTGTTACCACTATACTAATTCAACATTTTATTAATTTACATATAAATTCAAATAATTTAAATTAAATTGCCATGAAACATGTCATGTGATTTTATTTCTTAAATCATGTTAGACGTGACTAAAGGAACAATAAGCTTCGTGATTGATTATTTTTTAATGATTTATGTTGGAATTATATTTTGATACTCACCTTTATTATTTTACAACGCGTTATTCAAAATCATAACTATGTTTCATTTTAAGGCGCAATATTATTACCTTACTTTGAATCAAATTTGCTATACAAATTAAAAAATCACCATACTAGAATAATAGAACCCATTTATTTATTCTCTCATCATTGACATTTCTGACAAAGTAATTTTGGTAATTTTGGTCATTATTCTATATTTTATCCCATTTTTATATTTACTCAAATCAAAAACTTTATCAAATTTTTTTACATAAACCTTTTTGAAAAATGACATCTTCTGTCACAAACTGACCGCAACCTTTTTGAGGACTTAATGGATGAAGGGTTTGAACCTGAAAGGATAGGGTGATTATCTCTCGCTGAATTATTTTTCAAGTTATTGTGAATCTTGCTTATTATGACACGTATGCTTAATATATTTTCATTTTTATTTTGTACTTTCAATACAGAGGTCGTAATGATGGGGGCATTGATATAATATTCAAAGCTGATAGAACAATTTTGTTGTCCAAAGTAAAATTGGAAACGCAACTATGTTTATAAGAAATGTTTGTATGATTATAGATCATGGGAAATGGATATCATGCTCACAAGGTAACCAAACGGCACAGTCGATATCATAGTGGCACCCGCCATGGATCGGTTTTCACCTGACACGAAGTAAATGATGCGAACGTTACGTTAATATTCAATAAAATTTTGACTGACCGAACCAATTTTATTAATTGTCTTAAATTATTTCCCCTTTCTTTCTAATTTCTTTTTGTTGAATTTGACAATGTCCTATATAGGTATATACTGTCATTAACGGATCTGAACTTCTCATCACTTGATTTTTAAAAAAAATAAAGAATTGATTAAACTATTACAGTTTTTTTTACTTCCTATATGTAATATCTGAAAAGTTATTCTCTACATATTGAAGTTGCATTAACTTATTAAAGGAGCTAAGTGACAAAACAGTTCATAAAATACATACTTCTACTTTATATGTTCGTAGGCACAATCCACCTATGGATTGAAATTATCTCTAAGTTGAGGATCAATGCTTATGATAGAAGGAAATCCATTAGCTTTACAATTGATAGAAAAGAGTAAATCTTAAAGTCAGAATCTCTTATGTAGAAATTTTAAATGTGAATAATAGAAAATTGAGTATATATATGATCGTAAAATCATCGATTACACAGCTGCTAGAGTTTTTTTTTGATTTCGATCTTTTTCATGTAGATTTTATTTTTTTTTCATCAAAATTCGCAATACACATTCAATTTCCCTAATCAAAATACGTTAAATACAAATTCGTTAATAAACTAACCAAAATTATAATAATTATAGCGGTATATTGGACCATTATCTAATTTCATAAAATCATACGCTTATTAAAAATTTAATACTAACAAATAAAATTGGCATTATACATTTAAAAAGTATTTGCAGAGAGAAAAAAATCTCCAAATTGCTTTTTATTTTAGGAAAATTTATTCAACGTATCAAAAAAATTTTAATGTGGGGAAGAAAAATAATATATTTTTTTTTGCTTTGAAAGAAAACTATTAACTTAAATATCTTAAAATTAAGAAAATCTTTTGGGAAAAGTTCGCAAAATAGGATTTAAATTAGTGTTTATGTTTAGGGATAATTACATTATGAACTTAGAGTAATTTACATAAATGCAAAGTTTAATTAATTGAACAGGACAATTATATAGTAACTTTCACAGGTAATCGCTGATAATTAACAGTTATTATTAACAATGCATTTTATAAGTGGATTTGCAAATATCCAATTAAGTAAAACAGTGAAGAAATTTCTGATAACCCGTGAAGTTACTCTAAATAATTATCTTAATGATATTATATATTTTAATAGCATCTCATACTATATCATTTGCTAATAAAATCCGTCAAGAACAAAGAAGATCTGAATATCCAGATTCTCAAGTATCTAATTAATCCACTAGGATTTCTTGTTAAAAAGTCGTATCACGTGAATAACAATCTAAATTTTGATATTATGAATTTAATTTTTTTGTATTTTACAATATTTATTTTTATTTTTCTGCAATTAAGTAATCGTATCAATAATTTTCTTCTATTATTGGTAATTCGAAATAATCACTCCGGAATCTCAATTTCATGATCGCAAAGATTCGAATTTATTAAGTCTAGATCGGATACATACAACATTATCAAATAGGCCATTATCCGACCTGAATGACGTATGAACAATATAGAAAAAAATTTTTTTTTGTTATTATTAAATTTTTTAAAAAAACAATTTCCTCATTAATTTTTTTTAAATAAATAAGTGGTGGGTATTAGATTCATTATCGGAAAAGCTATAATCTAAGCCTTTTGGCCTTGATTTCCAAATTTATTTATTGTTGAAAATCAGTTTTCACCTAAACGATAATAGCCATAATTATAATATAAATTAGTATTATCAAATCAAAGTGTAATTTGTTTTTAATAAACAAATTTCTGAATAGATGGTGATAATCGATTAATTATAGAATATTAGTCAATAATTTACATCGTAATCAGTTGTTCATATCTGAATAAATGGACCGAACGAACAAATCGGAACACCGGTTCCCACTAAAATAATTTATACCTTTTCAATGAAATACTACTCAATTTATGAATTTAAAAAATCTAATCTACGATGCATAAAATGATTTTATTTTTTTTTGAACATTGATGCTGATCTTCTACGCCGCATAAATAACGACATTAAAAAGAAATGAATAATAAAAATTTGTTTATTTTATATTTTTTCAATAAATAATGTCTGATAACGATAAAGGTAAATAAATATATTTACCTATAGACAAGAATATGAAAGAATATAAAAGAAATATTGTATTTATTTTATTCGAACGTTGGAAACGGTATTCTAAAATTTTTAAAAAAAAAATTGCAAAACAGAGCGGGTTTCGGATGTTAAGATAACTTTTTCATTAGTAGAATTAGAAGGTAGCACATGAACTAATTTCCAATGATGAAGATAAATATAAATCATTTCTAATCATTAAATGATTCTTAATTTATATTTAAGCAAAACCAGCCAATAATGTAATTTATTTTTCATATAAAATTTAATAAATTTATAAATTTATATGTTTTGAAGGTAAGAACAATGACGAAATTATTTTTAAGCATTAATCATGGATTTTAATGATTTTTACTTGATATTTATATGAAGTTCCGAGTGCCAATAAAATTTTTACATTTGAAGGTAAGTATAACGATGGACATTATAAC